CTCTCTGATTATAAAAATGTTTAGGATCATAATCGTGACAAAAGGTAAGAAGCTGTAGACAAGAAAGTCGACCCAGGGCCAGATCTCCTCAACCAACTTCTGAAAGTCTTTCCCACCTCTGCAGATAATCCAGCCATGTTCCTGAAAGTAAAATTATCTGCTGGGATTAATCGTTCTCGGTATACCACAACGCCACGACACATATACCACAAAACCATGACACACATACCACAACACCACGACACACATACCACAACACCAGGACACACATACCAAAACACCACGACACACATACTACAACATCACAACACACATACCACAAAACTACGAGACACGTATAACAGACGAATAAAATCAAAAGCTGAATGTGGTAGTCCAGGAGGCAGACAAAGTTGAGTTGATTCAAAAACCGACATCACAGCACTCCGTGCATATCCATAAGCGTTCTGTCCCCATCTTCAGCAGCCAGTGCAGAGTTTCGATACTAATGGTGCCAGTAGCATTCTGATTAAACGTCCTTCTTGCCTTTCATCTGAGACCTGAGCATCCACCAGAACCCCTCGTCACTCCCTGCTGCATCAGTCTCACCAGAATGTCGTGATCCACCTGCTCTTCCGAACTGTACACGCTCTCCCACAAGGCACTAACCACGTCTGCCTCATCATGCATCAGTATTCTAACAAGTTGTGCCGAGTCAGCCAGTCTATCCGCCTGTTTATTCTCCAACACACCGTCGTCCCGGAGAAAAAATCCAGACAATAGTCCTCACCCGTGTCCTCCGCAGAACGCTATGTAGAGGTAATATTACAGGTTGACCTGCAAATACATGAAGTCGCCATTTGGGAAGAGCTGGTCTATTACAGAAATAAGAGGGATGTGAGTGGTATCTAAAGCAATGAACATCATAAACTCTGAATGTTGAAGGTGTAAAGAAAAGTTAAAGCCAAACAGGTCATTAACATAAGGAAATCCTCCCGTCTCCGTTTTCAGCAGCCAGCAAATAGTTGCAATATTTACTGTATCAGATGCAGTTTGATTATGTATTCGTCTTTTATTTCATCAATAAACAATGAATGCGCCAAGGCTGTGCTGTCTAACTCACGTCTGTTGCTGATAAATAATAATGTCAACAGAACGAGGGAAATGAAAGGACTTAATCTGTAAAACGTTATATCAGCGGTTCTTTCGTTTGCAATTCTACATTTACTTATATCGGATAGGGAGCTGCGTGGTCTCGAGGCATGGTGTCCATCTCGAGTGCTAGAGGTTCCGGGTTCAATCCCCGGTAAGTGCTGGGATTTTTTCAAGTGGACTTGGACTTCTAGTAATTCCCCCTAGTCTCTACGGTAGTGAGATCGGACGGTCGTGTGCATTGTTGCGCACGTAAAAGATCTCTTGGCAGTTGGAAATCGAAAAGAGTTGCCTAACGGCGCTGCCCGAGCAAAATTTTGAGTTAAAAATCTACCCAATAGTATTTCAGGATCCTCGTTGGTGCTACGGGGCCTGTGGACTGTGCTGAACTTCTTCGGACACCGACTTTAGTTAGAAGAAAAACGGAGCACTTATGGGTTACTACCCGTGTGTCATGATGTTGATCTGTTGTTCAAACCTCAAAACCGAATATCAAGTGATGAGGTAATCACAGTTATAACTTCATAGCAAACTGGTCACCGCATAGTTGTTCCGTTCTCCTGCCAACGAAAAAGTGCATAATGGGAGGGGAGAGGGGTGGGGGGGCAGTACAACAATCATTAAAAGTGGTAGGCATATACTAATAGCACAGCACAGGCTTACAAGCAGAACACCCACTCCAACCCCCCCCCCCCTTCCCCACCCCTACTTTTTTTGATGGATCGCATACAGTGGTTGTCAACTTTCCCAATGCCTCGATTCTTTAATACAGTTTACTATATTGTGGTGACCCCCAGCCATAACATTATTTCCGTTGATACTTCATAACTTCAGTGATGTATGTTTTTCGATAGTCTTTCGAACCCTATGAAAAGGTCTTTTGGTCCCCAAAAGGGTCGTGACCTACAGGTTGAGAACCATTGATCAAACCCATGTTTACAACTAGCTGTCCAGTGGATCTAATCTACCATGGCACAGCAAAATAAAAATTATGACAAGCAATGACAAATTTCCATAAACATGTCTGCTTGTAAAGGGTAGAAGTCCAGCATAGAACTTGTTATCATTCAATGATGTTTATTAAAAACTACATAATTGCCAATAAAACTAAAAAAAAAAAGAAAGAAATGATGCTCACTGGTACAGCAACCGCAGCTTTTGAAACGGTGACCACAATATGGAACTCTTATCTTTGTTGTTAGAAAATTAGGTTGCATATTTGGTAGTCCCAATGTTATGAGATGTTGTTTTACAGAAAAATGCTTAGAATACATTGGACAGCCAAAAAGAGCAACCAAGAGGTTTTGAAAGAGGCGGAAACCCGAAGAAAACTTATCACAGACATCAGAAAGAGACAGTCATCATTTTTCGGCCATGTTATGATAAGAGGGAAACTAGAACATGTTGTGATCACTGGAAAGATCTGTGGAAGGAGGAATAGATAAAGATAACGAGAGAAGATTGTTGACAGTCTTGTTGCATGGCATGAAGGTGTGTCGGCACACGAACTGATACATGCTGCAGGAGATCGTGGATTATGGAAAGGCATGATCGCCCACGCCAGTCGGCAAAGCACCTGATGATGATAATGACGATAAATGTTATTTCAGTTGTAACATTCACGCTGGAGAACACTTACAGCCATGGAATTAAAATTAAACGCACAGTGGTTAATGTAATGCAATGGTGGGTGAAAACGAGGTGGGTTTTTAACAGGCAGACAGATTGGATGGATCTGCACCACTGGGTGGTGAATTGATACATGACAAGGCAGATGTGGCCAAGGTCCTTTAGGAACAAGCAACAGAATCAGTAGAGAAAGAAGATTATTATGGCCTGGTGAGAATGAGACACCTGGGTGTAACTAGACGGTCTGACCGTCTCACTACACTCAGAGGAAAGCAAGACGGACATATAACCAGATTGTGACGGGTACCATCAATATTTGAACTGTGCTGGCTGCTCAAAATGAGGACGGAGCACGCATGGGAATGTCCCGAGTGCTGTGACTTAAATTCTTGACTCAACTCAACTCCAAAAATAATATACTCGGACCAAAGCAGCCTTGGGAAACCGATGGACAGTAAATGTGATGATTTCAGAAAAGGTAAAGAAGAAAGATAAATGGCTGGACCACTACTTGTATCATCAATAATGAGACAAAGAATATGACAATAGATTCGGCACATTATGATACGAAAAAGACAACAACAAAAAACATACAAAATAATCACTGAAATGGGAAACAAATGAATACGAAAACGTCCAAGAGAAACCCTTCAATAAAGGTAACTGAAAGAGACCAAAGACGCCAGATTGGATTCCATTCATGATGCCGAGAGATTGCACAATATAGAACAGGGTAGAGGCAGACCAAGAAGACGATGCAGAGATAATATCTAGATCCAGACTTGGTGTCACCAACTGGAATAAGAAGGCCAACCAGAGAGATGAACAGAGGCGGGTGATATCTGCAACAATGAACCTCAAGGGCTCGGAATGCTGAAGTAGAAGAAGAAGAAAAAGGATAAGAAGAAGACGAAGAAGAAGAAGAAGAAGAAGAAGAAGAAGAAGAAGAAGAAGAAGAAGAAGAAGAAGAAGAAGAAGAAGAAGAAGAAGAAGAAGAAGAAGAAGAAGAAGAAGAAGAAGAAGAAGAAGAAGAAGAAGAAGAAGAAGAAGAAGAAGAAGAAGAAGAAGAAGAAGAAGAAGAAGAAGAAGAAGAAGAAGAAGAAGAAGAAGAAGAAGAAGAAGAAGAAGAAGAAGAAGAAGAAGAAGAAGAAGATGAGCTCTATGTCATGTGAACGCCGCAAGAGAGGATGATTATGATGACGATGGCCGTTATGTTGTTGTCTGACTGATCAAACTTACATCCACAAGTTCTGCAGTCCAGAAGAAATGAGCGTTGAGGGCTAACATCAGCAGTAACAGGAATATGATGACTTTCCTAGCTCTGGACACATTACACATGGCACTGGCTTGAAACGGGAAACACACCACAATGTATCTGGAATACATGGCGTTAATTCATAACATCAGTCAATCAATCAGATGCTGTCTATAGGCTACAAAAAAAGTAGGTAAAGTGAAGATTCCTTTTCACGCGTTTAGGCGCATTGGGCATATGGAAAGAGCACCCATATTTCTACAGACCAATCGGCACCAGGAGGGTAATATGGTCAGTATTACGCCGATCGTCTGTACTTTCCAAGGACATACATCCAGGTACTCATTTTAGGATGGGTCGACCAGCGATGCCCCATACCATAATGAATATCCACAAGCCAGCAGTGGGTTTCCATCGCGGTACGTTAGAATTACCAGTCGGACTCGCAGCCCTTGGACGCTGCAGGGGCAACATTGAACACTCTTAAGTTTAATTTTTTTTTTTTTAAATTGCAACCCTCTGTAAGACAACAGTACCCTCCATCTTTGATATTACTGTCCCAAGTGTAGTAGTGACTTTTGTCTTCTGTTCCCCCCCCCCCCCCCCCCCCCCCCCCCCCCCCCCCCCCACTTCCACCCTTTTTCTCCCCTGCCTTTGATTGTTTCTATTCAGAAACAGAAGTCAAGAAAAGAATAGGGATGGCCAAAAACATTTTCAACAACATGCACAAGTTACTGACATCAAGAGAAATAAGTAATATATTAAAAATGAGAATTGTCAAATGTTATGTATTCTCAACCTTAATGTATCGCAGAGAGACATGGACAATGAACAAACAACTGGAAAATCGTATCAATTCTTTGGAGATGTGGATATACAGAAGATTAGGTCGTATTTCATGGAAACAAAAGCTATCAAATACAGAGGTACTGAGAAAATTGGGAATGAAAAGAGAGTTGCTAGGTGAAAAAAAAAAGAGACAAGTGAAATATTTTGGTCACATTAAAAGACAACAGGATTGTAAAGATCATCCTAGAGGGAAAGGTTTAAGGTAGGCGAGAAAGAGGCAGACAGCGTTACAAGTGGGAGGGTAACATTAAGAGATGGTCGAACAGCAGTATCAGTGAGTGTACATCAAGGGCAAGAGACAGGGCTTGTTGGAGATCCATTGCAGCCAACCTTCATTGTGGAGAGGGCACCTGATTGATTGATTGATTCAGTATAGTTTTTAAAAGAGTATTTATTTTGCGTTTTGGTGTGGTTGGAATATTTTCTCTCTCTCGCGCGCGCTCCTTTTCTTTATCGATCTCTGGGTAAGTTTGTGTGCCCGAGCGTGTGTGTGTGTGAGCATGCATCAATGTTCTATTTATTCACTGTTTATTCAAAGCCTTTTTATTGGACTGTTCATTCTTCGGCCATGGTAAACCACATATCATTTTGTTTATCCACTTCTCCAGTGCTATACATCCACATTCTAATAACTTTTTACACATACACACACACAGATATACACAAACATACACACGCGCGCGCACACACAACCACACACACACACACATACACAGACATTTTTGTAAAGAATACGCAACCGAACTAAATATATAATGGCAACGTTGAAATACGTTATTAGTACAGCTGCAAACTTCAGGGATAACGTAAAAAGGGGCGACTGCAGTTGACCGGATTGCAAGAAATGCTAAGTATAACACAACATGTGACTAGAAAGCTCAACGAAGGTGATGAAAAAGAAGCACACAAACACAACCGAACGTTTTGACCAAAGTCTTTATCAATGAAATTCTAAATACAGCCCAAACTGTGACTGGAATATTCAGCCGACACAACAACAAAAACACGGTCAACATGAAAGCAGGAAGTACGTAATTGGGATGTGGCGAGGGGGGGGGGGGGCGGAGAGGGTGGTGGTATAAATATGATATAGTAGGGGTCACCTAAGACCATAAGAAAAACATGCATTTACTGAAGTTATCAAGTAGCTACGAAAATATTGCTACGGTTGGGGTCAATAAAACACGAGGAACTGTGTGAAAGTATCGCGGCATTGGAGAGGTTGAGAACGAACGAATAAACGGACTTTATTTTCAAAGGGTCACAAATTGAGCACGCAGGCCCGTCTTAAATTCGGCCCTTCCAAACATATGTCTTTCAGAATGCAGCTTTATTCGTTGTGCGAGATTATACACAGCTTCTGGTCGAGCTGTCAAAACTTGCATTCATGATCTGCAGAACTCAGTTCGAATCCTGGGAAAGATGACAAAGGCATGTCTCTAAGGCAACCCCCGAAACAAAATTCCTGATTGCGGCGACTGCACTAACCGTACAACCCAACATTCTCAGGCCCAAGACACCCCATTCCCCCTCCCCCTCCACGTTCCAGACATCCCCTACCCTACCTATACCAGTTAAGAAATAGTTACAATAAAAGCAGTGACAGCAGTGTTCGCGACACTGATCTGCCATATTGTTTACCCCATGAAACTGCCGGGCAAATATTATACAGAAGTGAATATCCTCAAATCTGCATTCGTCTAAATCTGGCATTCTGGTAAAAGCCAACGGGAGGGCCAGTCCTACCGTCACCCCCATGCGCTTCCTCAAGGTTGGGCAAATCTATAGGGGTAAAACCAACAAGGTCGCAAACGCCGCATCAATACTAGACTTTGCGAAGGACTAGTTACTGGCTGTCAACCTGTCTGGTTTCGAGAGGTACCTAGAGTAAATCCTAAAGACCTGACAAAGTTCTACATTGTGTGAAAAAAAGCTAGAACTAAGCTGACCATACCGTACAGGTCGCGGATCACAGAAAATCACATGTACAAGCTCGATAAGTACTCTAAGCTCGTGGCCGGTCTGAGCAGAGATGAAGCGTACGCAGTAAAAATCTTCGCCGTCGAGGTTGGCGCAAGAGGTCTTATCTCCACTTCCATGTACAATGTGCTAAAGCAGCAGGGCTTGCGGAGAAACGAGCGCAAACGATCACTAAAACAACTGCTGAAAGAGATTTGAGCTGGCTCCGGACGCAAGGAACATCGTGGGGGCTGGGCATCGGTAGGCTGGCCCAAGTCTGTTGTGGAAAAGAACGTCTTATTACTTAAAAGCCAAACTGTCCGAAATGTTTGCCAATGTCCCTCTGTCGACTGCCAGAGTATAAAGGCCCAGTCTAACACCTGTCTGTTGAACCAACCGAAAGTTTGTCACCATGGTCGTAAGGTAGACATCTCAAAGTTGCCACCGCAGTGACAATAAAAATAATAATAACAACACCTGCTACAAATCTTGCCCTTGTCCAAAAATATCCAAAAAAGGGCAACAAAGAAAGATCGAGGACTGGCAGTCATTACAAGGGTGGCCCACCTTCCGCGATTGTATAGGAATGGTAACTGGACGAAACATTCGGCGATGAGGGTTCTTTCTACTGATGATCGGTGGACACCTGATGTAATGCTCCCCAGTGGAGTTCTTCTTAGATATAATTATTGGGAAATGCAAACAAGAACAGTCATTAAAATACATGTCAAAAAACTGTGCAATGACTCTATGTCTTTCATCCTTTTGGCTCCAATCATCTGCATACTTTACAGGTGCACATCGACTAACACTTCAAAATCTCTAAAACAAACTCTGCGAAAGAATAGCTGATGCTAATGTCAAAACTCGTTCAGTTACACAATCGCCTCCAAACCCATGCAAGGGATCGCAAACCCATAGATAGCAAAATACAGTTCATGGACAAAAAAAAAAAAAACATGAATAATTCGAGGGCGATAATTTAACAGTAACAAACTTCGACTCTGAATAAACAACTTGTCTGGTCTATACCAGAATTGCCAAACGAACGATAGTTTGGTATAAGAACTTTAAGCCAAATCTGGTTCAAACATCAACTTGGAATTTGATTAATCTTTCCGTATCAAGGACACACCGTACTTGGACCCCAAAACGAGACTAACTAGTCTAGCTCATTCCAGTGTTAAATAATCTTTTTCACCCACGTTCTAACTCATCCACGGTCCTGATTCTCATGCTCTCCAGTTTAGCACAGTTTAAGCAATTTTCTCGTTTGGCCAACATTTTCCGTGCGCTAGGATTCGTCCTCGATAAATTCGAATACATTATTCATATTCATGATCTGAGGTCGTTCCTACTGCAAACATAAATTATCGAGGAGACAATTACTCATTACAAATTATACTTTGTCCCTATAAGATAACTATTAAAACAATTATAAAAAAATAAATAAAAGTAAAATACGGAGCTGCAGGTAACACAATTACACTGCACGGGAGATCCAATCATGGAAATACATTCAACAATCTATTTCTATTATAAACAGATATTCCTACCAGATACCGAAATCATTATCGGGGGAAAATATGAACGTTCAATTGAATTTTGTTGCGTCTTTCTTTAGCTGTTGTTTGTTGTTGTTGTTGTTTTTAATGAAAATTAACGTTCAGTAGTTTGACACTAGCCTCGACGGTCGGCTCTCGATAATACTGACGAAACCAAACCGAGCAGTCTGCTGCCAAATCGACCGCAGCTGGTGTCAAACCCCGCACCCTGGCACTATAAAGCGCATTCGCAACGCCTAAGGCACAGAGACCGATTTCTTCTTCGTCTTCTTCTGCCTTTCTATCCCCCAATGGAGCGTAGGCCCTCAACCAAATCACGCCAAGTCGTTCTACCCTTCGCCATCACATGGAGCTCTCCCGGTGTCCTCCTCATCTTTCTAACTTCATTCCCCAGCTCTCGTCCCCATGTGTTTTTTTACCTTCCTTTATTCCTATGCCCCCGTGGGTTCCAATGCAAAGACATTCTAGTTATACTGTTCTCCTGTTTTCTCAGTGTGTGACCTATCAAACGACAGCGACTTTTCCTCACCTCTTGGACCGACTTACTGGAAGTGTAAAACATCCTCAATACACGAATTCAAAGGGACCGAAAAGCAGGAGTTAGTGTTAGAAAGTTCTCTCTAACCGAGGACAGATATATGTATTCTAGATAGTACATCCCTGCTGGAACCACAGTTTTGTTAAAGTTAACAGTGTGTTGATCTTAAAAGAGTTTATCTTAATGAGGTTTCATTACATTATAAATGT